CCAAAAAGAGAAAAGCAAAGCTCTGCCGAGCAGAAATCAGAGAGCAGCTGGTAAGGGATCAGCAGCTCAGGTGTGGGACTGCTTTGAGGGGTGTATTTGGTAGCAATGTTAGTCTGAGACAAAAAGAAATGCACAATTCTAGAACTCTTGGTTCAGAGATGATCCCTTTTACTAGACCAACTAAAACATTGCAAAAACATTATCTTTTTCTGCAAGCTTTTGGGCACATGTATTTCCTCAGGCTCAGGGAAGATTAAAGATGATAAAAATTCCCCATAGATAGAAAATAAACTTAATTTTTGCAGAGGAAGTTGAAGATGGAAGTCTGTCCCTCTGGATCCATGAGAGTGTCTTTGTGAGTTGTTCTTTGATGTGCAAATAAGGTAGGAATCCTTCCCTGGTGGTGTAGATGGCAGTAAAGTGTTTCTTGTTGTTCAACAATGAAGTTTAAATCTAAAAATCAGCTAAAATTTGGCATCTTCCATGTTTCAGGGATGTATTTGGTAGCTGTGTTGGTTTGAGACACTGCCTCGAGACTTTTCTCTGTGCTAGTGACAGTCAGTTATGACTGACTGGTGCTAGAGTGTTTGCCTAGTGCCTGGCATGAGTATATGGGGGTTTTGCTTATTTTTTCCTTTCTTCCCCTGTGGTGTGTGTTTATTGCCCCCCTCCCCCCACCACTTTTTTCCCCCCTTTTCTTTTCTCCCCCCCCCTCTGGAGTGACAGGGATTGCTCTGGGTGGGACTGGTTTACCTAACTGATGGGTGATGCTAGCAGTCAGCCTTTTTAAAAGACAACTCCCAGCAAACTGAGAGCAGCAAACAGAAACGAGTTCACCCAAGGCGGAAGCCAGGGAGCAGGAAACTCAGTGCACATCTGTGAGTTTGCGAGGGCCCTGGTGCAGGTATTTGGTATGCCAGATCTTGTAGCATGTCTCCCCCTCCTCTTTTTTTCTCTCCTTACAGCACAGGTGTTCTCCAGGGAGAAAAAGAGGTATCAATGGAATATGGGTCAACGACTGTGACTTGCTCAGGATGTGTCATGTTCCTGTTCCTCACAGAAGGTCAACAGCACTTCATCTGCACCAAGTACAAGCTGGTGTCTGTCCTGGAGAAGACTCAAAGGTTGGAAGCATGGGTATTCATGCTGCACTGCATCAAGGAACAGGAAAATTACTTTGACAAGAGTTATAAGAAGCAGGTACTGAAGAGGCCAAAGGGCAATGAGCAGCAGCAGCAGCATGAGACTACTCTTAAGGAGAGTCCCCAAAACTGAAGAACAGCAAACTGAAGTCAGAAACCACTTTCAAGCACTCTGCAGTGGAACTGTTGAGGAAAAGGCAAAGGAGAGGACATCTGCAGGCACGAGGCAGAGGAATTGGCAGCCTAGAGAGCAGGAAGTGCAAGACCCCAAGGACAGGGGCTCCAGGACCACTACACCAAGAAGGAAGAGAACAGTGGTGGTGGTTGGTGACTCCTTTCTGAAAGGGACAAAGGCACCAACCTGTTACCCAGATGAGTGGGCGCAGAGGTATGCTGCCTGCCTGGAGCCTAAATTCAGGATGTCACAGAGTCTGCCAAAGGTCATCCATCCTTCAGACCACTACACCTCTTCCTACTTGTCCAAGTAGGTACCAGCAATACTGCCAGGAATGACACTGAGCAGATAAGAGATGATTTATGAGGCTCTTGGCAGGAGGACTAGGAGCCTGGAGCACAAGTGGTGTTCATATTGATTCTTCCCACAGAAGGCAAGGGTTCAAACACAAACCACTGTATCCTGGCAGTGAATGCATGGTTGGTTGAGACAGTGAAGGCTTTGGCTTCTTCAACAAGGGACAGCTGTTCTTGGGAGGATGATTGCTATCAAGAGATGGGATTCATTTGATAAGAACAGGGAAGAGCATTTTGGAGTGTTGTCTGACCAACCTAGTAAGGAGGACTTTAAATTAGGTTCCACAGGTGATGGTGATCAAAACCTTCCAACAAAAGGGCATGCAGTTCAGAGGAGAGAGGACTTGAAAAAGCAATTCAACTCTGGGAAAGGGCCAAAGAGCTACAGGACTGCAACAAGTGGTGCAAAAGGGAAGCAAAGAGGTCAAAACGTAAAATACATCTGATGCATATATACAAATGAGAGACGTTTGGGAAATAAACAAGATGAGTTGGAAGCTGTAGCCTTGTAAAAAGAACTATAATCTAACTGGCATCACCAAGAACTGGTCAAACAGATCTTATGATTGGAATGTCAACATCAAGAATTACACTCTGTTCTGGAAGAACTGGGTTGGGAGAAAAAGTGATGGAATTGCCTTGCGTGTCAAAAACACACACACTTGATCCCTGGTTCAGGAGGAAGAAGACAGCAAAGCAAAAAGCATTTGGGTGAAGATGAAGGTGAAAGATGTGTCACCAATATGGTGGGGATTTATTATAGGCTACCAAATCAGGAAGTGGAGGTGGATGTCACTCTTCAAGCAGGTAACAAATCTGTCCAAAAGCTCTGGGATGGTACTGATAGGAGACTTTGATTTTCCAGACATCTGCTAAAAGGGAAATACAGCCAAACAAAGTGTCTAGCTGATTCCAAACTTATGTAGAGGACAATGTTCTGTTCCAGAACGCTGAGGATACAACTAGGGTATTGTCCATCTTTGATCTTGTCCTGACCAACAGGGAAGAACTGGTGGTGCGCGCAGTTGCAGGAGCCGCCTTCTCCCCCTCCCCACGGCTCCATTCCCCACCCCGGCTAGGCCATATATACAAATGAGAGACGTTTGGGAAATAAACAAGATGAGTTGGAAGCTGTAGCCTTGTAAAAAGAACTATAATCTAACTGGCATCACCAAGAACTGGTCAAACAGATCTTATGATTGGAATGTCAACATCAAGAATTACACTCTGTTCTGGAAGAACTGGGTTGGGAGAAAAAGTGATGGAATTGCCTTGCGTGTCAAAAACACACACACTTGATCCCTGGTTCAGGAGGAAGAAGACAGCAAAGCAAAAAGCATTTGGGTGAAGATGAAGGTGAAAGATGTGTCACCAATATGGTGGGGATTTATTATAGGCTACCAAATCAGGAAGTGGAGGTGGATGTCACTCTTCAAGCAGGTAACAAATCTGTCCAAAAGCTCTGGGATGGTACTGATAGGAGACTTTGATTTTCCAGACATCTGCTAAAAGGGAAATACAGCCAAACAAAGTGTCTAGCTGATTCCAAACTTATGTAGAGGACAATGTTCTGTTCCAGAACGCTGAGGATACAACTAGGGTATTGTCCATCTTTGATCTTGTCCTGACCAACAGGGAAGAACTGGTGGTGCGCGCAGTTGCAGGAGCCGCCTTCTCCCCCTCCCCACGGCTCCATTCCCCACCCCGGCTAGGCAGCAGCAGCCCCACTCCCTCACCACAGGGGCCTTGATCTGCCTTCCCCATGCCCCTTCCCTCCCCCCTCACCATCCACCACAATAGACTTACCAGCTGCACCAGAAATTGGATTGGTATCAGCCGATATGCCTGCTTAAAGATCGGCTATCAGTATTGGCCCCCAAAATCTCTATCAGTGCATCCTTAGTTCTAAGTTCCCTCGAAAAGCAGATGCACAAAGGAATAGCCTACTTCAGAAGTTCTTACTATGGGCTGGTATTATAAAATGCGTTTTAATAAGTAATAATACCTTCCATTTCTGAAATGCTTCTCATCCTAGCATTCTACAAAACATTTAACTTCATGTGTAGGAGCCAAGTTATATACATGCTTAAATATTCACCGGACTAACATAGACAAAGAATGCTTTAAAAACAACTAAGTGTTGTGCCTAGCTCCAAGTACCTGTGACATAAGTTACAAAAAGCAAAACTTATCAACTGATGAGCAGCAAAACACGAGTTGCTTCAGAAGTTTGAGGCAGTACTGTATTAATTTTTAATATTACATAGCATCCTTGTGCAAAAGATCAGAATTGGAAGAATAAGCAGGCAGGCACATCATTATCAAAACTGTAAAATAAACATGCTGCTGTTGTGACAAACTCTCTGATTCGGTTTTACAGAAGTTTTTTCTAGACCACAGAAACCCATGATGGTGGCCTCTAAATCCTTCATAACAGAAAAAAACTGCTCTATTATTTTTTTGTAGTCAAAACAAGAGTGAAAGCTAAGAGCTGGCATCTTCTGAGAGGAGCTGCAAGTCTATCTGGGGGTGCTATGAGTCTAAAAAAGGTTGAGAACCACTGATTTAAACCTTCAGGGCGCCATGGTTACTTAAGCCTCCCATTAGGGTCTGGTGAAGGAACCCCACTCGGAAGGACCTGGTCTGCACCTGTCTTTCCAAGGCTTGCAGCTGAGGTGGGCTCCTGACCAGGCCAAGCCCATGATGAGGTGGAGTCAGCAGCCATTGGTCCCATAGCGGGAAAGCTCTGTTATACCCAGTGACTACACGGCAAGAAGATCTATGTATAACCACAAACTCTTTGGGAGAACATAAATGAGCTCTGCACACCAATGACAGACAACACTCCCCAACATAATGCTACAGTGTTTCCCCAGCTCCAAAGCTGGTTCCTAGTTCAAAGGAATTAATTTTGGCAAACCCCGCAGCTTAAGACAAATTTAAATCTCCATCCATTTGTAAGGTCACACAAATACATCCATTTAAGTTGCTTTAATGTTAGCCAGGTTAACAGTTCTTAACTCAAATGTTGCCAGCTAAAGCTGTGGTTACAGTACTGTGTTATATGCATCCCTTGCCCAGTCACCCAGAGACTGTCATGGCCAGGTAAGCCAGGAGGGAAGCAGCTTGAAGTGCCACAAAGAAGATAAATCTCTGACCCATTGGGGGAAAAGAAAGCAGAGCCTGTGACCAACACTAGGCCCCAAGGTGGGAACAGTCTGAGTCTAGGAGTGGAGGAGGAGGAGATGCAGATAAGGGGCGGGCCAGGGCAGGGCACGGCTGGGAGCGTGTGGGCTCCGGGAGGGGGACCCCCCACACACAACTCACCCACTGGCTGCTGAAGCAGTCGAGCCCCCGGCAGATGAGGCGGGCGGCGGCGGCCAGCAGCGCCTGGGCGCCGAGCGAGTGACCGAGGCAGGCGAGGCCGTACAGCAGGGGTCCACCGGCGCCCAGCAGCAACAGCACGCGGCGGCGGCGCAGCACCTGCTGGCCCAGCGCCTCGGCGCCGTAGTTGGCGAAGCAGAGCGGCAGCAGCAGCGCGGCCGGCAGCAGGGGCGCGCGAGAGCGCTGCAGGCGGCACAGCC